ACATTTCAGATGAGCCATTGTATCACTTGTTTTTTCTGCCGACCCACCACCCAGCTTGTTATCTATAGTATGAAAATGACCTACATCACATAGATTCAGTGCTACCTACACAGTATGCAACTGGCTGCTGATCTTTTTCAAAGCATGTGTGGAAATTTACTCGATCCAGTTTTTTTCCACTGCTTTATTATCTTGAGATAATTTCCAAAATGAATCTAACACAATGAGCCTGAACCTGAGCACAATGCCTGCTATTAGAGCCCACCAAACCTCCTACCCGAAGAGTGAAGGCAGATCACATGATGCTTTTATTAAGAACAAGCCTCTTCATCTAATAACAGCTCCACTATCAAATTGGAGAAGTGCTGTCAACATCCTGCACAATCAATGCCATCCATCCCCCACTCCCCAAGCAGCAGCCATTAACCCTTCTTGTTCCGGCATGCCTGGCCTCACTAAAATGGTGGCTCTACTCCAGACATCTTTCTATAATGGCTGCATAGAATTACCCCCAAGCCATGAATTGACGTGTTTTGCATAGTTTGTCTGATGCAGATGGAGTTTTATGTAAAGAATGTCAACTTGTTGCAGACGAAAGACATTACCACTGTAATGTGCGACAGGGTCAAATGAATACAGTCAAATGCATGGATTTGACCAGTGGTGCACGTATTGAAAAGTAATTAGAAAGGAGTTATAGAGAAATCTAAAATACAAACATCAAGAATTGCAGATTAACATCTGAGGACATGATACAGCACAGAACTGCTCAAATTAACATAATGTCAGCTCTAGAATAATAGTGAAGGGTGACTTATGACCCGTTTTCACTACAGAATGACCCCGAATGAAAACATGTCAGTATTAAGTGGTGACAACCTAGACAACCTACTTAAACCTATGGACACAGCCACACAACCTATAGAGCAAACTTTTTTTAGGTACATAGATACTGTTTGTATGTCAAGGCCCCCCCCCCAACTCCTCAGATGACCAGCTACAGCTCACTTCTGGTCATCGACCTTATTCTTATCCCTGATTTAACACTGCGCCAGTCAGTCACGTATGGCCATAATGTGATTAGGCCACCCACTGCCTGGCCAGTAAACCTGCTAACAGCATGAGAGAGAGACATGGAAACATGGGCTGCTTAAACATATGATGGCTTCTGTTCATCTTACTCTCAACACACACACACACAGACACACACACTAACATGTACAGGCAACTTATACTAATGAAGTTACAGTACTAACTAATACATAAGCACACACATGTTTAATCCATTATTTGAATATTATAATTTCATTTGACTTTTGAATTGTAATTTGGATAAATATACTCTCAGATGTCTGGCTATAAGACTGGAAAAAGAAAATAGAAAATTACATACATTAACATAGAGACAAGCCCTAAACATTTAATTTGAAACAATCCTGATTGATTCCAGGCAAGCCAAGTCTTGTACATCCCTGTCATGAATGTAGGTAGGGGTAGGGTGTGGGAATTTCTTTTTTTAAAAGAAGTCATTTCTGGGTGGAGCACTAGATGTGATGAAGGGGCTGAGGTGACTGATCATAAGGAGTGGTCCCAAAACATCAGTATCCACTCCAACTTGACAAAAAGCAACATAGTGTTAACATTCCTCAGCTGACCAAGGTCCCAATTCAAGAGCCAACATGTCTATTCATGGTTAACAGCCTCCATGTTCTAATTACTGTGCTTTTTCTGAACCAGCTAGAGAAGCAGAAAGTTTTTCAGTACATGCAAACTGAACTTATTGCTGGCAGAAGAATTTACACTCCCAGACAGATACTTTGTGCTCACATAGTAGTTAGTTTGAGTTTGGTAGTTTGGGTTTATCTTAACCGCCATCTGTCCTTTTCATCCTACAAGACATTCAGCCTCAGCCTCTACAAGAGAGCACTGCACAGTTAGGTCAAAAGGATGCTACAGCAGTCAGTCATCTGTTAGAGCAAACTTGAGTGGATATGTTCTGTTCTTTAAATTGGATGGTAATTTGCAACAGATGGTTGCTGAGACCGTAATCTGTCACAGTGTGAGAACATTTTCTAATTTATGCTGTAATAAAACAATTTGATTCAGTGGAACCAACGTGATTTTTTACATTTTACTGCATTTCCAACATATGGGAATCAAGATAATGTCAATAATGAATAATTATCACAGTATTAGCAGTTTTCATCTCTAGCTTCTGTCTTCTTCATCTCAGATTTGTTGCAATAGCATCATGTAGCATCATGGAAATTAGGATTCTGGGAATTATAGTAACCTGACTGCATCAGATGGTTTGTAAAAATATTGTATATAAATTTAAACTTAAAAAAATACTAGGTAGGTGATCAACCATCAGTCAGTCACTGTCTATTATGAGCAAACTTCAACCAATCAGATCAACAAACCATATATCTCAATCAAACTCTTAGAAGCCAGTCGGTAGAAAAGGGAAAATATATTTTCCATCAAGAAAAGCCTTTATTGCTTTTCTTTGCTCTTCTTTCAGTTCCGAAATATTCTCCAGTTCTGATATAACTGATAGCAGCATCTATGCTAACCTCTATGTGCCTACCCCCATGTAGTTTAGTCACAAACGCATAGACTGATAGACAGATGATCACGACATCAGTGGTTATTTCATTCATTTGATGGATATCTTGTTTATTATGGGAAGCTCAGGAAGCCAAAGTCTGACACTGACTGGACAGTGGTGTTCACTTTAGACCTTTGTTCTTGGTTGATGTCAGAAACACCTTGACCCTGTACTCCCATAGTGTGTGTGTGTGTGTGTGTGTGTGTGTGTGTGTGAACACATTTTGGTTAACCTAACAAATCCAGGCCTGTAAACCAGCAGCCACTGCCTGCTCTTTTGTAGTTACATCTGATTCTGAAAGCTTGGAGTTGTTGTAAGCCTCATAATAATGTGAAATGGTAGAATGTATTGGATATTATAAATAGCACTCTGTGTTTAGTGACTTTGTGTTTAGTGAATTAGTCACTGTGTCCTAGATGCATACATGCAGGTCATACTGCTTCTGCAAATATGCTCTATAAATAATAGTTTATAGAGTTTTATCAGCGAGACATTCACACACAGGTTTATCTAACTATTTTTTATTTTTTTTTAAACTTTCATTCTGTACATAAGAGTGGAATTGCACTTTGTTGTAGGATCAGCCAGGTACACTTGTTAACAAGCAGACTGATGGTGTAACGTTTCGTTACTGTCAGTGAATATACAGTGTCAACCTCTGGGCCATTGACTAGGGGTCATCCAGTATGTATAAAAGGTGCCGAATGCAACGTTTTTTTTCATGCTAGAGCACGTATGTAAGATGATATATGGCTGCAGTCTGAATTATCTTCTGTTTTAATCATTTATAATGGTTAAAGGTTAACAGAGGTGGTCAAATTGTGTGCAAAGGTCTGTAAGACCTCCAAATGTACTATACTGTATATTTAACGTCATGATGATCCTGTTGTAATCTCTGTGACATACTATAGATAATGTGACTGACAGCCAAATGTATTTTTGATAAGGAATGAGCTGTGTTTGTAGACTAATTTTCAACATATACAATATGGGCTCTGAAGCTAGTGTGATAAAATACTTACACTGAAATGACTTTTTAGAGGATAGTGGTCACTGGTTCGAGTTTTTCGATGCTGGAAATGTAGCATTTTTTAACGTAACTTTTCATGCTAGTTGGAGAAGGAAAATAAAATGTTTCGTCAATGTTTTTTTAGAGTGTTGTCTCTTCTACCTAGCAGCCATCTCATTTAGCTCTACCCTGAACGTAACATTTGCAGTGAGGTTGAAAGTTGGTCAGTATTTGTTTAGGGAGTATGAATGTTGACAACCGTTACACGTACAGAGAGTGAGAGGGTGAAAATGACTTGCTCTCAGGGGCCTTGACAACCTTTGCCCTGCTGGCTCTCGTTTCAGGCCTTGTAATTGCCACTGACCAATGGGCTCCCGTTTGAAACAAGACCCTGGGCTGCAGCTATTAACGTCCCCCTCCAAACGGATCTTGTTTTGATTCCTGATGCTTTTATAGGTTTTGTCTTTAGGAGACATTCCTGGTCGGCACATACCATGCACCCCTTTCTGCCCGTATTTTCCTTCCTTCCCGTCTTGTGGGGCCATTGCCCCCCTCCCTACACTCACAAACATACACACAGCCATGATCAACCTTTGCTCGTGTGTGTGTGTGTGCGTGTGTGTGCGTGCGCGTGCGTGCGTGCTAGGGCTACTGACCAGCCCACCCTCCCCTGGCCCCTCCTGACAGCCAGCTACACTCCATGAACTTGGCCACCCGTCACAGCTGCGTTAAGATTGAAGGATGGGGGGCCCTTGTATCCAGCTGGGTCGGAAGACATGGGTGGGGGCAGGGCAGGCCCAGATGCAGATGGTTTAGGTCAAATGGAGATGTTTGAGGATGAAGGGGGAGGGGGACACAGGAGCTCAGGGGCACAATAACTCCAGAGGTTACTCCTCCAACCCCTGGAAAAATGCACTCTTGGAGTTTGAGTATATATTAGTTTTCATGTGTTTGTGTTGCAGAATGTTGGCGGTTGTTGCAACTAGCTAGAGTTTACTCTGTTTTTAGCCCAAATCTGCTCTACAGTCAGTATCAACCTGATGGGGTCTTTTCAGGTAAAAAACAAATTAACACGTTTTAGAAAAACGTCGATGGTCCATTCTTAAGAATTACACATTTTCAACAATGTTAGTGGTGGAAGGAGGCAACGTTTGTGGTTCAGATCTGAGCAGGAACCTTTTGCATGACATAATCTTTCTCTCTGTGCCCACGTTTCCTGTCTTTATCCCTACTGTCATGATCAAATAAAGGTAAAATGCCAAACAAATAATCTTAGTAATAAAGAGTTGTAATGATATGAGACCACTACAAACTGGATGTGTTTGTAACCACTTTCTGTTTTTCTAATGAACATATCTGTGTTGTCTCTGTCTGTTGTAGAATGGGAGTGCCGGCTGGGCAGACGAGGCCGACAGTAGCAGAGGAAGAGGAGAGGCCTCCAGAGACTTTGCTAAGGTAAGCATTTGATCACCTGATGCCTTCAGTGGGTTCATTCAATAAACAGCCAAAAGGGAAACCGGTGCAGCAATTACATAATAACATTCATTCTTATGAAAGTCAAACTAGTGGAAATTGTAAATGGATTAACCTTTGATGCATTCCCCAGACTGATGGTCATGTTGCATGTACGTTCTTTGCCTGCGTGAGAAGAAATAACTAGTCCGTATTTATAGAGAAAGTTGCAGAGACGGTCTTCATGCCTCTGTGAATTTGATTCAACAGTACAAATAGAGAATACATCTGATTTGTTTTTTTCAATTGGGTAGTTTGTACTGGCATTATCAGCCACATAGGAAGAAGAAAAGAAAGAGCAGACTATAGCAAACAGTGCAAGACACACAACAAGAACTACAGGAGGTTGGCCACATGCAGTTGGTACAGTTTGGCCCTAAAACGCTTCTTTTTTCTCTTTCAGTTGTATGAACTAGACAGTGATCCCAAAAGGAAGGAGTTTTTGGATGACCTTTTCACCTTCATGCAGAAAAGAGGTAAGAGTACTCTCCTAAAACAATATTATTTATATATATATCCTAATATAATATTTATGTATTTCACTCTCCATAGCTTGGCCATTCCACTAAATTTTGATACTTAAGGAGTAGGGCTGTCAACAAATGTTGTAAATGTGTTTTTATAATCGATTTTCAAAAAATACAGACAGATGATTATGAAAATAATCAACTGGCAGTTGTGGGGAGAAAAAGCAGCAATATTGCGACTGTCTGTCTCCAAGCAATCAAAGAAGCCTTATTTGGAAATAATTCAGTTGTGCCAAATCATAACAAGAGCTACATCGGCTACATTTATGTACCATCATGCTTGAATTTCCCTCGGGATAAATAAAGTATTTATCTATCTATCTATCACTAAAAGAGGCAAAGGAATAGCTAAACGTTTGACACCGAGCTACAGAGAGCAGGACATAATGCGCAAAAAATAGATAATCTCTTAGGTCAAATAATATGTGATTTTAAAGTTTTGACAGCACTACTAAGGATAAAATCTATTCAGCGTCAGTGTGCCCCTGCAGCGGACTGTCTAATGTTACATGTCATAGAGGCATGCCACTATTTCCCAATACCACAATACAGTACCGCTATTGAAAGATTTTGATGATACCTTGCCCTAGTTGTTTCAGGCTTTATATCCTGTAGACGTTTCAATATAAGTGTTTAATTCAAAACAACACAGCTATGCATTCTTACCTGTCAAGGCATGTATGGTGTTTAGTAATACCTTTGCAGTATGAGTTGCTGCATTTGCGACATTGGATGGACCTTCTGCCCTATGTGAAAAAAGCCAATACCATTTCCATTTCTTAAGATTCATTTCCTGTGTCAGTGTGAGGAGGGGTTGCTTTTTTTTCATCATGCATCTGGAATTTCACTACAGATTGATAGATGTTGGGCCTACAGAACAAAAAGTATATTTCCATATACAGTTGGATAAAAGTACAAATATAATAGTTCATTCCTTTGTGCCTTTGGTCTTCCAACATGACTGTCACTAATCAACTCAAAAAACATGCTGTAACTCTCACTAGCTAAGAAATCCTTTAGTAATTCCCCTCCCAGGAGTAAAGGCCTTAAGGGGTCAGCAGGTGTGGTTTTGCAGTATCGGAGCCAAGAGGATCTGGCAGTGACCTAACTTATTTAGTTGGCCAACAGACGGGGAGGCTCAGCTGACCGCGTGCTGCTTTGACACTGCCGAGAAGACCCCTCTGACCACGGCTGCTAATGTACTTAGGCTTTTATCAGACAAATCTGTTGTCAAGCAAGTTACATGGCTTGAGCAATACCTCCCAAGGTGAATCACAATGTTATTACAGTTGTGCATACTTAACATTATGTTTTGGCAAGCTATGATGGGTGATGATGGTCTGTGAGTGTGTCTGTGGTTCATACTTCATTATGTTTTGTCACATGCTATGATGGGTGATACAATATGTAGGCGAGTGTATATGACGCATAGTTTGTTTTGTCAGACTGTGACGGATGATTATGGTGCGTGCATTTGTGTAGCATAGTCCATGTGCGTCGACGTGCATGCGTATCTACCACAAGAGCAGCAGCTTCTGAGTGTCTTGTTTGGAGGTTGATGAATTAAGCCGAGTCAGAGAGAGGGAGGGAAAGGACCTGTCAGGGCCCTGTTAGCATCTCTGTCCAGTGGCAGACGCTGGGAGTGGTTGACTGACCCTTTACTCACGCTGGTCAGATGGAGAAATCCATCAAGCTGACAAAATGCCACTTGACAGCAGATAACTGGCAGATTACAGTGCACCGCATCACATTATTTTCACAGAATTTGCATTTACTGAAGGCAGAAAAAAATTATATAAAAGTAATAATAAAAGTATTTTTTCTCATCCCATTGTTGTGTTTTGAGCAACTCAAATATGTAATGAATCATAACACTGATAAATAATTAGCATAATTAGCTTGCAGCTTGTAATACGACCCCACCTTAAAAAAAAAGATTCCCTGATAACAATATGGATTTGACAAGAAGAACTCTTCATCTAAATTCTGTCCATCTTGCTTAGCTTGAGTACATTTCCAGAGAGATGTATAGTGAGTGCAACTGGAATCAGCTTGCATGGATCAAGTTCCTGTATCATCATCAGTACAAGTGACCAGTAGTGAGAGAGTGCAGGGGTCAGTGCGCAGTTGTAATAAATACAAGTGTGTCTCCAGAGTGCTCATCAAATAGACAAGCATGAGACAAAGGAAAAATATATATATTTTTTTATTTATGTATTTATTTTTTCATTTGGGAAAGTGGGGCCCCTGAACAAAATTACATAACTGGTATGGTGAAAATGAAACAGCTGTGGCTGCACAGTGCTTCAAATGCGAATGCAGGATATGTCAGTTGCTACTGACATTAGAGACCTGATAGTACAGGAGGGTAGGGTATAATTTCAGCTACTCTAGTGCGAGTTCTTCCCCCTCCCTTAAGACAAGAGGCACATGGCTGACCTCTGCTGTTGCTCAAACCAGAGTCTTAATCACAAGGAACAAATAGCTTGGCTGGTTTCCCTTTTTGCTAGTAGTGCCAAGATTATATGAGATGTAGAGGAAGCCTAGCTAAAGCTCTTGTTGATGGCACCCTCTAATTACTGTGTTTACTCCTCCTTCCATTTCACTTCATAGATGTGGGGTCAAGATTATTGCACTCTTTTTTTTTTTAATGAAAGAGTACTTAGAAAGCCATTTTCATTTAATGTCACTTTGTTGGTGAATGGGGGCATAACAGCTGCTGATCAGCCTCTTCCTTTGACTGACCTTTATAGGCAGAATGCTCAAAAATACTGCCTCATTTTGTGAAGCATATTGTGAGGCTAAATGAAATCCAGTTGAATCTCTGGATGAAGAGAGACAAATGGTGAAGTGCTTTTCTCACCTTGTCGTGGGGCCTCAAGGCCTTGAGAGGAAAGCAACAGCGGAAGGAAAACTTACGAGGGATTCCCATTTCCTGCCTCTGCGCTTAAAAACAGTGTTGTGGTGTGTGTGTGTGTGTGTGTTAATGGTTGAGGAATTTTAGCAGCTGTCCTAAATCCTGTCTGTGCGTAAAGGGGCCCATTGATGGGCTCTGCATCACAGAAATGGCAGAAGACACACATACAAACCCCTCTCTACCTTTACTTCCTTGGCTCTTATTTCTTGACTGCCTACTCCAACATCCATTACGGTGCCCCTTTTGCTTTCACCATTGACCTGTGTTCTATTTATTGCTTGTAATTTTAAAGAAGTAAATCAGCTGTATTCTACTGGAGAACCTCCTGTCATTTGCTGCAGATAGAAACATCAGCTAATGGCCTGACATGTAAATGTAATGTAAATGCACTAGGGCACATGTTGGAAAAGTGTGGGTGGAGGATATTAGCCTTCATGAATTACAGCGACATCACTGTTCATCATATCCATTACAGGTTTTGCTGTTTCACCCCCTCTGGGAGCGCAAAGAAAAGCTTTGACGTTGGCTCAACGCCATTAACCACCTCAAAGGTTTTGATTAAGCAGATGGGTGAATGTTTGTTTTGGTTTGACACCCGGCCACTTTCTCATTTGGGATGGGGGTTTGGGGCAGGACGTGGGGTTGTGAAGAGGTAACCGATGGGGAGCAGGCTGCAGGGGCTACGGGTGCGCGATAAAGAAAAAAAAAAAAGTAAGAAAATAAAAGAGTGATGCAGCCAACTGCCTGTCAGCGCTGTCCACTTGGGATGATTAATGGCCACAGGCTGTGATGGACAGAGCCAGAGAGAGAAGCTCCTGTTCAGTGAAATCACCAGTCGAGAAGGGAGGGGGTAAAGACAAGTGTTTTAGCTCCTTATACTCCAGCCAGAAAACCCCACACGTCGCGGTCAGAAAAGGCTAGACCCATCCCAGTTTGACACTCCTAATGGGAAGTGTAGATTCAGCTTAAGAGGGACCACATGGTGTGCTATCGCTGCTTTAGAGTTATTCTTGGGGGAAATCCCTACATAGTAGATTTAGGCCTATTAATAGTAATAAAGAGGTAAGCCGGACTTGTCTGGGCCATTTAAGTTGCAGTGGTCTTGACGGGGCTGGATAACGATGTATAAAATTAGAGGAAAGAGTAGGCGGGAAGGAAGGAGAGATGGTAATGATTATAATAAAGATGTCTCAATTAGCTGCAGCTCCACAGTTTAACCTAATGACAGTGGCTCTTGTCTGTTTCTGTCAGTCTTCACTGTGGCTGCTGGTAATGTTTTCATGGTTTGTAGAGCAAAATGACAAATGGGTCATATTTGTCCTTCAAAACATATTTTCCTTTACTGAAAAAAAATGTGATTTACTAAAACATGATGAAAAGGGCACTTGTATTTGGAAAAACCCATGAAAAACATGATTTGCATCAAAAACACATTAAAATAGCTAATGTCTCTTTTTACGTGAAGAAAAACAAGAATTTTACTTCCAGGTTAAGCTGGGTGTTTTTTGCAGTATTTGTGGTGTGGGAAGAGTGGCCTCCCAGCAGGACATTAGAGGAGGTTCCCTAACTGTAACCCTGAGACCGAGAGCTCTGTCCACACCAATTACACCATGAATGGACTCTGGGGGATCCATGTATGCATTATATTACTCCCCCGGTCAGCCTCACACTGGCCCTCGTAACAGGCGGGCCCTCTGTACAAACACCACACTACAATAGGAACATTCTCTGGCTCTTTGATATGGCCTCATTTTCCTTTAGTTAACACCCCACAACTTCTGGAAAGTGGCAGCACCTGGTTGGTTTAACAACAAAAACAGTGGGTATTGTGTGCACATTTGCCCATTTTAAATAGTGTTGGATTGTGGGTGAAATGATTTTCAGGGGTCAAACTTTTGAACTGCAGCTTTGCTGGGCAACTATGACACAATTAATGTCATAGTTGTCATCTGCAACTGGGTGATCCACTTGTTTCAACTTAATATATTTTGACTCATTAAAGATACAATTCTCCAAATAGACGAGACCCAAA